TTTTTTTTTTTTTTTTTTTTTTTTTTTTTTTTTTTTCCTTTGAGCTCCCAAATACAATCCTCTTCAACCCAAGGCTAGGCTCAGACTGCTCCGCTACCCCTTCCTCCCTTTCCTTCTCTACACCGCCTCATAATAATTGATATTCATGACTATTAATATTACACGACTACTTTAAAGGGAGAATGCAGGACCAAATGGAGCGTGAAGCTGGCAGCCAGCTCGAGAGCTCCCCTACTATTGTAAATGACGTTCATTCAGTGGAGAATTACTAGATGTAATCAGACGAGGGGGGCTGGCAGAGGCAGAGTTTGGGGAGAGGGAGAGGGGGGAAAAAGTTTAGCAAGGAAGAGGCATAACTTCAATTAACTCCAGCGGAGGAAGAGGAGGAAAGTAGACACTGCTGAGCTGGAGCAAGGAAGTGAGGTGAAGCAGTGCTAGAGGCGAAGAAGAAGAAAAAAAACATATTTCCTTTTTTTTTTTTTTTTTTTTTTTTTACTTTTATTTTTATTTTCCAAACAGGGATTACATTCCTAATACGAGGAATTGATTGCCTTTGGTGCTTTTGTTCTTGTAGTTTTTCTTCTTTTAAACAAATAATGAGGAAAAAGAAGCTTTTCTAATCCTTTTTTTTTTTTTTTTTAAAGAAATGGAAGAAGAAATGTGCAGTCACTATAATATATGTCTATTTACAGCGGAGATTCAGCCTTTCTGGTGCATGCTACAGATCGTGTTTATTCGCAACAGCCAAATAAATACTTGAATCTGCGTTAAGTTGGGCTTAACTTTTTTTCTGAATCCTGTTCCTCCCTCCCGATATGAAAATATATATATATGTGTACATATCCCGATTTTCACCCAAATGTAAAATGTATGCGGTGAATTTTAAAGGATAGTAAATTTATAGTTTCGAGGCAAAGCCAGGGGCGATATAAAACCTTTTTGATGTTGCAGGAACCCGTTCAACTGGACTGTCTGCCATTTCTGTTAAAGTTCAACTTACGTTCCTTCCTAAATAGACTCACACTTCCCAGAGCAGCCCCTCCGCACATACACACGCACACACACACGCGCACACACACACACACACACTCACACACACACAACAGTTTCAGTTTAAGTGGCTGAGACGCCCCTACCATCTTGTTGTTAATTATAAATCGGAAAGAAGAGAGAGAAACGTGGGTTTTTTTGTTTGTTTGTTGTTGTTTTTTTTTTTTCCCTAGGACATATCTAGAGGGCTCTTAAAAAAACAACTTTTTTTTTTTTTTTGTTAACACTACACGTTACGAAATGACTTGGAGCGCACCCCCAAGTTGGGGTACACCCTGCCCGCAGCCAGATCCCACCCAACCGCTCCCCCAACTTTGCTTCTCTCCCACGGCAATCTAGAAACACGAGTGTCCGTAAAATGCACAGCGGCTTAAAAATCCTCTTCAAAAGGAGGGTGGAAAAAAAAAAAAAACAACCCCAAATCCCCGACATTCCCCGAGCTCGCTGGCCAGGGAGGGGAGATGTTTTGTCGCCTGCTGCTGCGGGCAGAGACAATGGCCGGGCTGTGCCTGGGGATGGGGAGGGAAAAGCAGCGAGGGCCGGGGATCGCCGGCGGGACACTCACACACACACACTCTCACACACACACACTCACACACACACACGCCAGGCTGTGCTCATTCCGCACATGCTGGGGTTTGCCAGTTGATAATTAGCCTGACGGCAGCTTTTGGGAGCGGAGACGTTTCTCCCGTGCGGCCGGCGGATACCTTCCCCCGCTTCCCTCCATCCCGTCCTTTCTCCGGCCGTGAAAAGCCGGAGCTGTGCCCTCCCTCTGCTTCTTTCTCCGCTTTTTTCTCGGGCGTTTCCCCGCTGTAAATGCGGAGGCGCTCCCGGAGGGGATCCCTGCCCAGCCCTGCCCGGCCCCTGCCCGGTACCCAGCCCTTGCCCAGCCGCCTCCCCACGGCTCAGCCCCCGCGCTGGAGATGGCGGATTGCGCCCTTCTGAAAAAATCTAAACCCCATCCCGCGATCGCCGCGCAAATGCCTCCCCCAAATTAAAAAAATTAAAATAAAAAAAATAAAAATAAAATATAATCTTGCAGAGCGCCTTTCCTTACATATCTTTTTCCCGTTTCGGAGCAAATCCAGCACGCTGCTTAACTTACAAGAAACGAATTCGCGGAGCCCGTTTGGGAAAGATCCGGGTCGGGAAACCGTGCAGAATTAAGAAAGGTTTCGCTGTGATTTTTTTTTTCCTTGGTCTGCTTTTTGAGCTCGAAAACAACGAGGAGGTCTGAATAAAGCACACAACTTTTCGTGTCCGCGGACTACGCGGAGCTGCCTTTGAATGTATCTGTTCGGGTGTCTGTACTCACTACGTGCAAGAATGTAGGTGCCGCTTAATTAATGCGAGCATATGTATACGTACACATCTTATCTGTTGGCATATAGATATAAAAAGTCGTAAAAAACGTATCCGATTGTGAAAACAAGAAAAAGAAAAAAAATTCCCAAATTCGGGTTGAGCTTAGCTTGAAATTGCAAAATAAGAAATAAAAGAAAGAAAAGAAAGAAACGTAGCCAGTCCCTGAATACCAGTTTGTGTTTCTCTTCTATTTTCAGCTTTTTTTTTCTCGACATTTGTCCATATTTAATCGAATTATATTTAAATCGAGGTCTAAACAATCAAACTCTTGCCTTTAAGTTGCCTCATTCCAACCCCCTGATCATTTCTTTGATGTTTTAAATCGCATCAAACAGCTTTTCCATGGGAAAAAAAAAAGTTTAGGACTTGGCATGCTGAATACAAATATGCAAATAAATAAGCATTTTAGCATTTACTCTTGTTTTCCCGTCTCTATACTTGTGTGTGTTGGTGTATGCATCTCTATATCTGCCTGTATGTATATGTAAAGCTATATATGTATTATATAGTCGTGCCTATATCTATATACTCGGTGTATATTTAAATATACATATACTCTCTTACTCATATGCATATTATATACTCACCTCATAGATATCTTCATACTTGACATTTTCAACCAGTTTCCAGAGCATGATGGCAGGCTGTTCTCTAGGAGGTGAGTGCATTCATGTGAAGAGCAGATGTCTGGATTCTCAGTACTTCTCTGTCTGTAATGATCCATCTATAATTGGAAATGGGGGACAGACACCAAATCCGACGTTCCTCTTCCATCGCAACTTATATCTGTTGTCTGAAACAATAGGCTGCAGAAGTCTACCTCAATCGGATAGTAAAAAACATTATGTTACATAGTTACATATATCTACAGACATATATGTGACTATATATATACATATACACACATATATAGACTTAGACTTACATGCAGGCGTATAAAGATATATACATATACGCAGTTGCGCACACACAGCTGTACATATACATGCACATATATCTCCGAACATAGAACTTTTTCCATGTACAGACATATATAAATTGACACATTTATATATGTAAATTATATATATTCTTGGGTATGTAGGCACATGCATACTACACATTACATATGCATGTATACATACAAACCTGGTCAATTTATATAGGAGTATATATAAATGCATATTTGTGTATATATTTATAGACCTACACATATATACGTGGATATACAGTGATTAAATATATATATTATATAGTGCATATATCCGCTATTTTAGTGGATGGATAGATAGATAGACAGATAGATAGACAGAATGGAGAAATTAATGAAATTTTTTTCGATCCTATTTATATTAAAATAAAGAATAGGTTGCCTCTGCGCCAGGCGATTCATCATTTACAACGAGATATTATGCTTTTCCGCACATGCAATATGCTTTTATTTACATGTCCAGAAATTATCCTCTCATCTGCAGTAAACCACCAAACCAGCGCCTCACCAGCACATTCAAGTAAATCTAAAAGGAGTAAATTTAGATCAATAATTTTCATTTGAAAGCCTTACACTTCGGACTTGGACTGTATATTTTATAACTTGGAAACACTCTCTCTGGCAAAAAAAAAGAAAAGAAAAAAGGAAAAAAAAGGAATTTAGCAGACCCTTCCCTGCACACATTTGAATAGCAATTAGCTACTTTCGGAAAACGATTAAAAACAGAGCTGGGTTTGCGCGTTCCCGGGTAGCTCTCGGTTTGGAAGGGGAGAGGAGGAGTTGGACCATTTTTAACCTTTATTTATTTTTTTTTTTTCCCCAGGCAAACCTTCCTTCGCATTGTCCGTTTTTTTTTTTTTTTTTTTTTTTTTTAACACGTTGTACCGCAAAGAGGCGACCTATTCTGCAGGCGAGCAGAGCCCATCTCTGCCTTTGAAAGGAAACAATTGAGCTTTGCAGTGGGCTGGTGCACCAGGAGGGGGGGAAAGAAGGGAAAAAAGGGAGACACAGAGGCAAAGAGACAGAGAGAAAGAAGGTGTTTCTAAATTCAAGGTCCTGTCTCTGGAAATTTCAAGCTCTGTCTATAAGGTTCCTACAAATCTTTGTTATTCTGCATGGGATCCTATGGGAAAGTGCATAGTGTCCTTTGTACTTTCAAAGGTCCTACAGGTAAAGATGCTTTTATATATATGTAATCTCGAAAACGAGGGGAACTTCATCAGGAGACACTTCTGCTGGCATCTGGTTGGCTGGTGGGAGGGGTAGGCTTTTCTTTTTTTCTTCACTTTGGCCTCAAATTAAAGCAGAAAGTATAAATTCATCCCTTTTCCCCTCAGCCTCTACAGCCTGCCCCCCCCCCCTTCAAAGTGTACATCTTCTTCTAAAATCTCAACCCTCAAAAGGCAAGAGAGAAATAACAGCCAGATATTATAACAGGAGCTGGACAACGGTCTTGCTGGAAGTTGTTAAAGCAGATATGAGTTGTATTTTCTCAGCATGGCCACCGCTGCACAGAGGAGGAGGAGAAAAGGGCACATCTTTGAGTGGGTTGGACAGACCATTTCAACCCAAGCAATAGTGTAAAAAAATGCTGAAAATGAGAAGGGATGTATGCTGTTTGCACGTGGATGTGCAGAGATACCAATGCAGCCACCCCACACATGCCCTCATGCACCTAGAGATCTGAACGGCCCTCTTAGAAAAATACCAGGCTCATAAAGGGACAGTTTGCCATCACTTCTGCTAAAGTCTTTTGAGTCATGTCCTGGAAGGCTGGCACAGGGCAGGGTGAATGTGCTTCGTGACAGCTAATGCTCTACAGTTTCGTGGCACCCTGAATTAAATATGCTGTACGTGTTGGGGGAGGGGAGAAAAAAAAGAAGCTAAAATAGATTTGACAACCACTGGCTCTTTGCTAACAGAATGGTATAGACAGGAAACCCTTATTTTCAAGTCCCGCTATTATTACATTTCTCTTGCACTTGCAAAACATGACAAATGTGTCTGAAGTGATCATTTAGAAAATTAAATTGAGCAAAGGTTCTTCGCATTTTTTGTGCTCGTTTCACCCCCCCCTACCCCTGCAGCTTCCTTAAGCCTAATTTAGCAAGGAAGACTTTCACCAATATAAACCCGAAATGTGCAATAAACCCTGGGTCCAAAAATCTGAGTCAGGTACTCAGAACTGACCATTACAAGCTATACTTTCAAACTTAAAGAAAAAAAGGGGCAAACCAGATGTTTTTCAGCAGTTTTGGGGCATGCTTTTACAATCTCTTCGAACGAAAGCCCCGGTTTTTTCATCGGTGAGCTGGGCAGGGGCACTGCAACCTCAGCCTCCCAAAGGAATATTTTGTACTTTTTTTTGGGGGGGGGGCTTTAAAAAAAAAGGAAAAAAAGGATACCTTTACATATAGCGCTGCCTGTTGGGGAGGAAGCCCTCCCCGCCGCTCCAGCTGGAGCAAGGCCGGGCGATGGCCGCGGGGAGCCGGGCGCGGCGGAGCGGCGTTGAGCGGGGCAGCGGCGCCCTCTGATGGGGGTTCCCGTCCTGCAGCGGCTCCCTCCCGAAAGCTGCTGCCTTCCCCCCGGTTATACCCACGGCTGGGACTTACCAACAGCCAAACATTCCCTCTGCTAGAAATGACGGTATCAGCGTTTCCTCCGTTAGGATAAAGCTGCAGCTTCTTATTTACACCGATTTTTTTCTTAACAGCCCCCTCAGCGTTTGAACCTCTACCTTATAATTAGAATAAATCTTTTATCCCTCACTTTTAGATGTAGTGTGTCGCCTAGGTCAAATATCCAAATCATCTCAACGAGATGGCTGTTAATAGCCCTGGGAGGGAGAGGACCTGCAACACCATGATGGCCACTTTGGTGAGAAGTCAGAAAAAGAATCAATCTTAATTCAACAAGTTATCCTCCCCTCGTTTCGTATGATGTTTCCGGGATTTTTTTTTTTAACTTTGCCTACACCTCGAAATGGTGTTTCAGAAATGGACTTCCAGTCCTGCTCTGCCTTTTAAATCCAGCGTGGGTCTCTATAATAAAGTATATAGCCCTCTATATCCAACACACAGCAAATCCGTATTGCTGGCTAGAGTTTAAAATAAAACAATTTATCTCAGCGCCCTCTGCTGCTTGCTGCAGGCTCTCATGTAAAGGCAGGGGTTTGACAGTTCTAACTGAAAATCCAGTCTTTTTAGACGTGCTTGGTACCTTTTCTTGCAAACTAGCTCTTTTTTTCCCTGACAATTTTCTTCGACATGTTCTCACGTGTATTTCAGAATTTAGTGTTTTTTATTAAAAAGTTTCTTTGCAATTAAATTCACAGGGGAAAGGATCATATAACATTACAGGTATCTCAAAATGTAGCTTAAAATTTACTGCCTCCTTATTCATGGATTTACACAAATTATTGCTTTGGTGTGCATTTTATACCTTTTCCTTGTGAATAATACCAAGAGTCATCTCTTAAAATAAATCCAGCTTCCTATATTGTTTGCTGGTAAATCTAGTTTCCCTATTACACCTGCAGACATAACCAGGGCTTTTTATAGAATCATAGAATAGTTTGGGTTGGAAGGGACCTTTAAAGGTCATCTAGTCCATCCCCCCTTGCAATGAACAGGGACATCTTCAACCAGATCAGGTTGCTCAGAGCCCCATCCAACCTGACCACGAATGTTTCCAGGGATGGGGCATTTCCCACCTCTCTGGGCAACCCATGCCAGTGTCTCACCACCTTCATTGTAAAAAATTTCATCCTTATATCTAGTCTGCATCTACCCTCTTTTAGTTTAAAACCATTACGCCTTGTCCTATCACTACAGGCCCTACTAAAAAGTCTGTCCCCATCATTTTAATTTTTCCCAAAACCACCAGTGCTCATTATTTGTGAAGGGACATCACCAAACCCTCTCACTGCTGCCTGCTGTCTTAGATGCCAAGAGTAGTTTATAGCAAGCCAGGAAAGCTCAACCACATGTGCTGAGCCCCCATGGACAGGCCTAGGTGGTTTGCCACATTTAATAACCTTGTGGGGAAGAGGCTGTGGGCTTTCCCATGAGTGGTGACCTCCCTGGAAACACCCTTTGCCACAGCCCCTTTCAGGCTCTTCCCAAAGCCAGGATCAGGGTGAGGGAGTCACCCCTGGGCATCAGGACCCACCTCCCACTGCCCTGGGGCTGCCAACCCCGCTATACCAGCTATACCACTGCTTGCAGCCAGGGAGGACAGGACAGAGACAGTAACTCAATCTGAAATGTCTTCCCTGCAAAGGGCTCCAAAACATCCTAATAACCATGCATAGGAGCAAGCAGGCTAGAAAGGGCTGGTGTGACTATTTCAACCATCAGTACTACCCACCTGTAAAAAGAAGGAACAGAAATCTCTTTTTGAAGGCTAGCAGAGTCTTCCCTGTGATTCCTGACCTTTGGTACAACAGGAAGAGAGTCAAAAAGCTGTGCACCAGACAGACGCAGTAATGAATGCTCAATCAAAGAGTCACAAAACAAACACCACCAGCTGGCTTCTTGCCTCTGTCTCAGTTTTAAGAGTATGTTTATAATGAATTTTGGCAAACTCTGGGAATGTTTTGGACACCTTTTTGCTACTAAGACTGGAGTCCTGTTAGTAAGTAGTTCATAGCATGTTTGAGGACATTTAGTCAGTTCTCAGGAGGGCATTTCGTCTGCC